CCATAATACTTTCAACAATAAAGATAAACTTTTAAAAATTATATAATGTTGTTTGTCAATTATACTTCAATAAAAATGCTGATATGGATGAATAAAAGTAATATTTTAAATTTTTATATAAATTTGTCTTGTGAAACGTCTTTTAATGTTCTTTACTTATGTTTGTACTGTAGTAGTCAGTTTCTTATTGAATTGTAGGAATTGTATTCTTGACATTTGCTAAGTAATTAGATTGAACTAATATATAGATACTATAAACATGACAAATAGGAAATAGCAAAAGAAGCTCTTAGTATTTAATATATTCGCAGTCCATTTCTTATCAGAAGGAATGAAGTCACTTTCTAATTTCTAAATTTTGTTCATTCTTTGTTTACCATACCATAAATTATAATATAAAAATCTTTTGTTTGTTTTTAGCTCCAGCAGATATGCAGAATTTTGAATGCTCATATGGACTCTTTAGAATGGATTAGCAAGAATTCAGGTGAGAGTTTATTTGTATACCAAGCTATCTGTATTGAAAATAAAATATGTGATACAAGTCAGGTTTTGTGCACCATAATCACACTCAAATAACAGCTTGCTTGTAGGGGTACTGCTTAACTCGTGGTATGTCTACATTAGTTTTAAGGAACTATAATTGCTTATTTTTATAAAATGAAACAGAATGATAAACTAGAAACTAATGAAAATAGAGGATGTATAGAAATGTGGTGGATGATATAGGGATAGAAGCAGGACTTCCCTGAGTAGAACTTTTAATACAGTTTTGACGTTTGGGCTATAAAAAGTATAAGTACTGAAACATTAGAATTAAGCCAAAAATAATGGGAACAAATGTCAAAAATAGATTCCAACAGCCTGGCCACGTGTGGCTCAGTAGTTGAGCATCGACCAAGGAACCAAGTGGTCAGGGTTATATTCCTGGTCAGGGCACATGCCTGGGTTGCAGGCTCCATCCCCAGTAGGGGCTTGCTGGAGGCAGCCGATTGATAATGTTTCTCTCTCATCCATGTTTCTATGTCTCTATCCCTCCCCCTTCCTCTCTCTCTAAAAATCAATAAAAACATTTAAAAAAATGGATACCGACTGAAACCAAACAAACCTGTATAACTAATTTATAACATGCAGTTCAGATAAGTTTTCAATATAGTGTTCATTATGGTGCATCCTTACTAGGACATAATGTTAAGGATAAAGAGAATTGCAAAGAAATCTTAAACTTTCTTAATAGGTTTATTGATGGTTTCAGAATTATAACACATATACTATTAGCACTATTTTATATATGTTGTAGGACAAAGCAAATGCATAAATATGTTAGTGATAACAGAAACCAAGATTTTCACTGGAAGATAAAAGGTATATTTTTCCTTTCCATCTTTTATATTTGTATTTTAAATTTGTATTACAGTATGAATTCCTATTCCCTTATTCTGTACATGGAAAGGGCCAAGAAGCAATGCCAGATACCCCAGCAGCCATGAGCACATGCAGCACCTGGATCTTGGTTTCTAAATGCCATTCTCATTGAAAGGAATTAAGGCTTCTTGGGGAAATATTTGACCTCAGGTCTCAGGCAGGGAAGGTACAGGGTGAGTTTGGGACTTTTTATGCCAGAAAACAAAGATTGTTCAAAGACTAATGAGGTTATATCAGGACACAAGGTTGTGCTTAAATGGGCTCCTACTGACCAAATTAGGATGGTTCGAACATCAAAAAGAATAATGACATTAATGGATTCTAATACATTGGAGGGAGATGACCATGAGTTCACAGTGATACTCCAAAGAGAGAGAAACATAAGGTGCAGGGAAAAGCCTTTATTGAAGCATGTCAGCTAATAATTGTAGAAGGAATGATAGAATTGTAGGACCACCATTAAAACAATTTCAATAGAACTTTTATAAAGCTTACCCTGATCTTGACTACCTTGGCTCATTTATAAAATTTTTTTCACTGGAAGATAAAAGGTATATTTTTGGTCCATTTCCTGCTGGCAGAAAAAAAATATGCCAGCAGGAAATGGACCAAATATATACTGTGAAAAACAGTTTTATTGAGGTATAATTTGCATACTGTAAATTACACCATTTTAAACTGTATAATTTAATGAGAAAGTCACTACTTTGCAGCCCCAGCATAATGATTGATTCAGGCAAGGATCACTAATGAATAAAACCATTGAGTTTAAGATTGTTGGGGAATACGATATTTACATGGTGTCAGAAGTATCTCTCCAGAGATTACTTAAAAATTACTTTTAAAAGAAGAAAAAGTACAGCTGCCTGACAAGTACTACTTTAATCAAGTGATGAAATTTAATATCAGTAATAGTGGGATAACTTGACACTATATGCCTCTTGATAAGGTGTACACAATACCACACATGTAGTATTCTTATTAAAAATGTTTAACCTGAAGGTAATCACAAGAAAATGATCAGTTTATGTGTGAGACAGTCTGAAAGATAATTGGCTTGGACTCTTCAAATGGCAGTCATGGGAAAAAATTCAAAACAAAAAAAAAAATAAGGAAATTGTTTTAGATTAAAAGAAACAAAATAATCAAGCCTACTATATTAACTTTGATTACATACTGGATCAAAACCAAGAAAACATTATTTTAGAATAATTGGGGAAACTAAATATGGACTACATATTAAATTATATTAAGGATTTTAAAATTTTTCCTATGTGTGTTATTGTGGTTGTGTAGGAAAATATTTTTATTCCTAGAAGCTGCATGCTACATTATTTAGAACAGTGTCCTGTCTGTAGTTTTCTCTCCAGTTGTTCACCCCAAACCATTGTCAATAGAAAGAGATTGAACAATTTCTGGCAAAATGGTAACAGTGGGCTAATCTACATAAGGGGTATACAAGTTTGTGATTTTTGTTGTTCTCTCATATTTTCTATAGATTTAAAGTAAAAGTTGGGGGGAAATCATGTTTATAAACTTTTGCCTAAATATACAATTTAATGAGGCCTCAGTAATTGAGAAAAATGGGGGCTAGTTAGCCATTCAGAGTTACTATTTTTAAAGATGTAGCATGAAAGTAACACAAGTTTTCTTATTTGGTAGTCTAGATTCTTTATTCTCTGCATTAATAAAGATCATCAACCATGAACTTCTTCAGCTTCTTTTCCTTCATACCTATATCATCATCCATCTTGACTTTCTTCTCTGCTGTGTTAGAGTAAGAAATGTTCTGTCCCTTTCTAAACTGTTTTGAATCATCATAGGAATGTTAAATTCTGTATTGCTTTAGTATTAATTACCTAATGGGGAGAGGTTTCTAAATCAGATAGATATGGGTTCAAGTCAAGGCATTACCTCTTAACAGTTTGGTGACCTTAACTGTTTCTTAATGTCTCTGAGTGTGTATATTAATTTACTCATTTTAAAAATGAGGGATATTATTTACCTTGTAGGGTTTTTGTAAAGATTAAAACAAGCAACATTGAACTTTTCTTGAGAAGTTCCTGGTCCATGGTTGATAAATAATAGTGGCGGAAATGGTTATCAGAGTTTACTCAGTGTGTGTGTGTGTGTGTGTGTGAGAGAGAGAGAGAGAGAGAGAGAGAGAAAGAGAGAGAGAGAGATCATTTGTTTCAAAGTTAGCTATTAAATTGTGTCTAGAGAAGGCAATTCCAGGTCAATTATCATTGAAAACCACTTACTTAGAGAAATTGTAAGAACAGCTGAGATATGGGAGAATGTCAGTGGCTGGAAACACTGAGGAATGAGATTATACAAAGTTTGACTCAGTTGTCTTAGTGTCCCACATTTTCCTACAATGAGCAATGTTTTCTTGGGTGGAGTTGGGGGAATTTCAAAATGTAATTAGTGCTGTAAAGAAAGATTATAGTGATTTTTTTCCCTTGACTGGGATCCTCTTTGTCATAAATGAAATCTCAAGGTTCTTAAGCAGTGTTTTCTTAACAATAAAATTAAGATTGTTAGCTCTGCAAAGAACTTACTTTATATAAATTTAAAAACTGTGTCCCAGAGAGGTTAAATGACCTTCTTAAGAACACACAACTAATTAGTGACAGAGCTAGGACCAGAACCCAAATTTCCTAATTAATAGAACAGTATTCTTTCTACCGGTATGTTCTTAAAAGAATTCTAATGTGGGCATCACTGGACATAAAAATGAATTTTAATCATATACATAACAGTAGAGGATGAGAGCATGATAATGTTAGTACATTGGGCGAGATGTAAGTTCTAGGTGTCTGGGTAAAGTCAACACAGGGTAAAAAGAGTAGGACAATGGAGAGTAATGGTTACTGGGAATTACTTTTATGCTAAAAATTCAATTGAATTGGAAAGGCAGTGAGATCTCCTATAGGTTCTCAACTGAGACAGGAAGGCATGATGAAGAATAGGAAAAGGCCTGGTAATTCTTGATTCTGGGGGCTCCTTTTCACTGTTCCCACAGAGGGAACCTTTCTTTTTCATATCAGGAGATGAAATAAGCAAATAATGGAAAGTGGCAGAATTTAATTATGCTGTCTAAGAGTCATGTGTTTTTTGTTTGTTTTTGTTTTTTGGTTGGTTGTTTATTTTGCTTTTTAATAGTTAATGGATTAGGTCTGCTGAAATGGTCTGTTGACAGAAATTTTAAGGTTAAACTTCTCAATGAGTCCATTTATTCACATCCAAATAATAGTTTTAAAAGGCTAATGTATTTAACAATAGAAATAATATTTTTTTACTAAAGAGAAAGCTCTAACTTGAATATTTTTTATTTTTTGTAAATATATCTTTATTGATTTCAAAGAGAGGAAAGGAGAGGGATAGAGAGATAGAAACATCAATGATGAGATAGTCATTGATCGGCTGCCTCCTGCACAGCCCCGACTGGGGACCGAGCCCGAAACCCGGGCATGTGCCCTGACCGGGAATCGAAACCTGATTGTCTGGATCCTAGGTTGACGCTCAACCACTGAGCCACACCCGGCCAGGCCAACTTGAATATTTTTTAAAGATTTTAAAATTGAAATCTGTATTTTAAAAGGTTTCTGGGTAATGTTTTTATGATTAACATCTTTGACATTGGTACAGAAAATGTTTCTATTATAAAACAGAGCAACTATTATGCCAGTAGGATCATGCATTTAACTTTAAAAAATCAACTTATCTTTAAGAGCGACTTGAAAATCATACATTATATTTTAAATGTTAAAATACTACACTGTCCAAGCAACTCATCAATATCCATGAGTGAGTTATAGAGAACCAGGCCCCTTTCTTCCTCTAACCTACATAGAACTGACTGTGATGGGACTGATCTAGAAAGGCGTCAGAGATGAGTATTAAATTAGGGAGTATCTGAGCATGTGCTGGTATTGACCAGTTTTCAAATTTGATGTTTACCCATTGTTTAACATTATGTATGCCTCTTTTTCTCCTGATTAGTATGGACAATTGAAAATTAATAGTAACTCTAGTCAAATACCAGTTCCCTCTTTTGTC